TAATTACAACGATCAGCATCTGAAAGATATTTACTCGAAAATGGTTGTTTAAACAAAAACACGCATATATATATCAAGTGACTAAATATTTGAATGTTCTTTAATTATCCATGATCCATCTTTTAGATAAAATCCTTCTAGTTCTAGCACTGCAGAAGTCATAATAATATATGAGTATATATTCAGTTAAACAACAGTTTTAACTTACTTTGGTACAGACACTATAACTTTGTCTTCAGGAAAAAGACCAATCCTCAGACGGGCCTCTTCAGGCATTTGTGGTTTCAAATGGACGAGTAAGTAACCAAATGGTTGTATCATTGCATCTTGATAAGATTCTTCAAAATATTTGACATGTGATGGAAACATTTGTCTTGCTAAAACATTCAAACCGAAACAGTAAGTGTCCTACAGAACATTGTCTGAAAGAAGATATGAACAGTTTATAAATGTATTTCATACTTTCACAAGATGTGTGTATCCAAATTTTGCAGGTGTGTTTGCCACTGATCAATTCCTAATAGCATTAGTCAGTCTCAAAGATTTATTCAATATTAATATTCAAGAAAAGGATCTATAGAAAATGGATGGATAAACAATAAGTCATTCATTTATTATTTAATAGTTGTAGCAAATTGTATTAGTATAGATGTTAAAATATGCAAAATAATGGTTTTTAACACAACTAAATCTAGACAATGATGACGAAATCACATATGAAAATATAGTAAACTGTCACAGCATATTTTTAAAATCCTACAGACAATCATTAAAATGATGGTTTTAACATAATTAAATATAGTGGAAGTGTTGCATCCACCCTTGCAAAACTCATGTAAGATAAGACTATAAAGTATCATGTATAAAATGAAATATTATGTCAAGCCTTTTGTCAAGCTGTAGCATAAAGTCAAACTAATGAAAGTGTAAGTTTAATTATTGTATAATATTTAATACACATTTTATTGATGATGTAATCATATATTGAGACAAATTAAAAACAATTTGCTTTAATAACGTAAGGTATATCTAGAACACCATCCACCTTTGTAAAACATGAGATAAAACTATGAAAATATCATGTGTAAAATGAAATATTTTGTCTTCCATATTAAATAAGCACCAAAAATCTTTGAAACAATCACTTAATTTATTATTATTGAGTCAAACAGTACGTTTTGATTATTTCATGATATCATCTTTTTAGGGCGATTTAAGTATAAATGGTCAGGAAATGTGTGGACCTAATAAATTAGTGTTAGTCATTCCTTTTTCAGGGACATATATATATATAGTAGTCGAAGGTAAATGTGGTACGGTA